GATAATATTTTAAATTTTTTTTTTTTTCAGATAAAAGCTGTGCTATTCACTTGGGTCGTTATGGCTATGCTTATGATTTGCTTATCGTTAAGCTGGGAAATCGTTTTTGTAACACGAGAAAAATATATTTTCGATGGATATAGCTTCAATACTTGTGTATTTATTAAAGGTATGTTTAGTTTTAACCTACGATTTATATTTAATATAAAATTTTCTTCACAGTGTTCGGATTGAGCTCTGTTGTTGTGGTATATAACTATATACGTGAATTTATATTACTTTCAAATAAAACAGGAATTGCTTAAAAAATATGAAAAGTGTACATATAGTAATGAACAGCATTGTACGAATCAAAGCTTTTTTCAATTGCTGAGCTTTGACGGGGAAAAAGCTGCAATGAGGTACGTCAAAGCTTTTCGATTTCACTTTAAAAGTCTCTTGCTCTCTCATGAAGTCATTTGTGACATCACGCCTGCGTGTGTACAAAATTAGCTTGACGAAAGAAAATAATCGGTGGCCGGCAAACAGTTCGCTTTGGTAGCTCTCAGTTATTCGACGCACGCGAATCGAATTTGTACCTGGCTTGATAGTTCCGCATATATATGTACATAGAAAATCGCTTGTACATAGACGCACCTAGGCAAAATGCCTAAAAACCGTATAGCCTCTTCGAGTTTGTGATTTCATTAAAAATAGTCACGACGTCATGTGTCATTGATTGTCGCGAACATATTTGATATTATTCATTTTCGTTATTGCTGACACTCTAAAGTTTGATCCATGATCTCATAAAAATATACGAATCATCAGCAAGGCAGCGTGAGAGCGATAGTGAGAGCGAGAGCGAGAAATAAAGTGAGAACGAGATCGAGTGAGCTCTAGTCAAAACGAACACAAAAAAAAAAAAAAAGAAAAGAAAACAAGTTTCTTTCTGTGTTAGCACTGCGCAAGTGGATTTGTATTGCTCCACACAGGAATTTGAAGCATTTGTGGATATAGCAACAGAATGGCATCCACATCGGGTTACAAAGTATTTGCCTATGCCCTGCACATACTTTGTACGGTAAGTTGAGAAGAAAATGTCTAGATAATTGCCATCAATTGTCGCAAATACACTGCCAATTCGTTTGTTTACATGCCCAATTGGGGCGATTCTCCCTTTATTAGCGTCAATGAAAGTATAACTCAGCCACTTGTATCAATTTTCCTAAACACCTTTATGTATAGAAAAGCATATGTGTAAAAGCTTGATAGGTGAATTGGACTACAATGGCTTTTATTATCAGCTTTGTTAAACCTTATCGCCAAAAATCTTTGCATGTATAATACAAAAAAGTTTCGCATGAATACGAAATACAAATGGACTTCCTAATTTAATGCAATTGGAAGATCTAGTCACTTTGTGAGGTCGCTAAACAAGTATTCGACCCTGAGATCATATTTTAAGGTAGAGTACCAACAAATATATATTTGATTTCTCTAAACGAAGTTAGTATAAAGTATTATAATGTGCCTAGCAGCTTTTTTATACATGGTGAGTCGATAAAACAGCATAATAAAATTTGAGGTTCAAAGCTCACGAGCTATATCACTATATATGTATAGTATGTATATGTATATATGTAATTCGTCATCTGATTTACAGTTTTAACAAATGCTCTATGACTTATACGCTTAGAAGAGTACACCCAGGTTTAAATCCCTTTTTTCGGATCAGCAAATAATTGTACTGCAGTGCAGTAAAGAAAAACATCACAGCTGTAAAGCATTCAACATTTCTTCTATAAACAAGAGACTTGCACTTAGCGCGTTTCTAGAAATCTAAGTAAATTGTGTTCACGGCATACTAATAGATCTTAAATAGCCCGAATATGCATAGGTGTAAATATTTACACCATTTAACTTTGTCATTGAACCCGTTGTTATTAAATTATTTAGCGCACTCGTATGCGTTTGTTAGTTTACCTTAAATATTCAATAATATTTGAGAATGAACACATGGCATATGCCACATATATAAACATGCAGGTTAAATATATATATCTTCATCAAATATGGCTTACATCAACTGGCAGTTTATCAATTTTCCATTTACATATAATCAATTGTGAACTGAATTCTTAAATAAAGTCTGACGTCTGTCTTTCATTTTCTATCGACTATAGTATAGATTCATTAAACTTTTTTTTTTTTCAATGCTAAAAAGAAGATATATATTATTAATATATACATAAATAAATTTCTATTCAATGTATGTATATAATTTGTATTTACTGCGTGTCTATTTTAATCAAAGGACTCTGTTCTTATGCTTATTCCTGTCAAAATCTAGTGCTCATGTGACAACAAATCTGACACGTATTCCGTAAATTCATACCCTGTAGCTAGTGTGGCTGTGGGTGTATATATTCGGTGACTTATGTACAAGTTAGAACTTGTTTATTCTACACTTATGCCGATTTCTAACTTTGATTTATAGCCATAGTCATATCACTATGTATATTATATATGTATTTTGATTGAGCACAGGGCGTCTATTAGTCGCGTTCTGTTTTTGTTTGTGGATGGAGTGTCTCTCCCTATGCCTCGGCTACTGTCGCCAACTAGACTAGTCTATCGGACGCCTATGTAGCTAGAGCGTCCATTAATATGGGAGCGCACACAACATCTCTATTGCACACACACACTTACAAATAGTATAAAGTATAGACACTTCCAGGACATTTCCGTTTGAGTAAGGTCAAAAGCATAAAAGTAGCGCAATGTTTTGGAGTTGCCCTTTAGCTGTTTATGTATTATGTATTTAGATTTTATTTATGTTGTATTCTATATTTTTGTCCTCCTCTTATTCTTCTTCTAGCTGCTGGCACTGGTGCTGATATCTTTTGGCATCTATATCCTGGTATCCTACGATACAAACGAAGTTGGCTGCTGGACAGCCTACGCATATATCGGCATTGGCGCTGCGGCCATAATTATATTTTTGTGGGGCTATCTGTCTGCCTGGCGGGAGCATGTTTGCTGTACAGTGACTGTAAGTGGTTAACCTACCTACATAACTATGACATCAAACCAAACATTTCAATGATTAATCAACCATTATTTTTTTTCTGTAGTTCATTACCGTATTGTGTGTGGTTATTATTATTCAACTGGCTGTCTTGTTTGTGCTAACGAAAGGCGAAAATACAGCTGCATCCAATTTGGCCAACTCATTGGAAACGACCTGGGAGGAGGAGCTCAATAGTCCTGGTGCAATGTCATTATACGAGAACTGGGTGGGTATTAAAATAGATATAGCTTACGATTTATCATTACTATTTTTAATGTTGCCATTAAATGTATGTGCTAAAAATATAATTAATCAACACTGGTCAAGCAGCTTAAGCTTTTAAGAATTTAGAAATATAAAATCGAATATACATATATAATAACTTTTGGTTCTTTGTTGCCAACAGTGCCTAACTTAATCAAGCTTTATCATGCATATCACTATCTACTTTATAAGTATTTATAATTTTTTATTATATTTCAAAAACTTATTGAACATTATAAATTAGCTATTATACGAATTACTTTTACTAACAGAGGTAACCTTCGCCTAGTTTACTTCACTTAGTTAGCTTGCTAAAATTAACTCATACTATAAAATTCGCATTTTACAGTTCCAGTGCTGTGGTCGCGGTAGTCCTCAGGATTATATCGTGAATGAACGCCTGCCGCCGGCAACATGCTTCCGAGATCACGATAAAAGTAAATCGGAAAATTTGATTCACAGAGGCTGTCGCATAGAATTCGAAAACTATTGGCGGCACCTCTTGAGCATATTCAACATAATGGGCTGGCTACTGGTCGCCGTTGAGGTAAGATACTTTTTATACTATATCGCATTAATACGATCTTTAACATTGTTTGTATATTCCAGCTGATCCTTAGTTTTGTATCCTGTGGACTGTGCAACAGTATTCGCAATGATCATCGACGTTCGTACTACTAAGAAGTTTTGACCGTCCAATGGGAAATTTGCATTTGTTGAGATTACTCTTGCTTCAATTAAAAATATTATATGGCGATTAAATTATTTTACTATTTTTATGTAAAGTGACTTTACCTCACATCACAATACCTTACGAAAAAAAAAAAAAAAAACAATTGTTACCATGTGCCCAAGCATTTAAAAATAGGGATTTTCTAGGAAAGTGCTACAACAGTCGAAATGGCTTTTGATGTACATACAAGAATATATATATACACAGATATATATATACATAAATGTTATTGTTATCAAGTTAGTTGCTTTTTAAGCTTGTATAGCTTTACTTACACAAACAACACAATTTTGTATGTACTCTTAGTATAAGACATGTGAATTAATTTATTTGAATATTACTTTTTTAATGAAAATAAAAAAGGAAATAAAATAAAATCTTGAACACAGCATGTGACTTTTGTTTTTATCTACATATATAATGGGTCTTTAGCCAACACTTTACTGATTATCTTGAATGGAATGGAATGGAATAAAATAATTAAGAAATTCGAGCAATTTTCACATTTAACTAACTATATGTTAAATATAGCGTTTTATGTCAATGAAAATATTATTATTAAATATTTTCAGCTCGACAAACGCATAACAATAAAGTCTAATTATTTAACAGTAAGATAAGCACATTGAAAAATTATAAATGAGAAATAAATTACAAATTAATTAATATATAAGAGTGATAGATAGATTTTCATAAATATATTTAAACATTTATTAAATAGCTAAACTGAATTAGCTTGGGACACAGAACATAATTTTTACTGATACTAATACAGAATTATATTTTTAGCATAATTAAAAAGAATATTTCAAATACACTTGAATCAAACTCTGGGCATCAAATTAGTTGGTTTTCTAAATATTTTAGTTGACTTTTGCTTAGGCCTATTTCGAGATGTTTTCTAATTTGCTGATCTAATGTAGCAGCCATGAATCATCCCGTGCAAAGTTTACAACATTAGCATATATACTAGATTCGCCCGCCTCTGTCCCTCCTCTGTCCCGCCTCGACCCACTTCCACACCGTTCCCCCAAGCGAGCGCGCTGAAAAGTATGTAAAGCAACTATTATAAAAATAGCGCAGCGACAAAAGTTTTGTCGCTTTTGCTGTTTTATTTTCCAACTTGAGGTATGTGTTCATACATATACAACGGTTCAAAAAAACAGCGAGCGACCCCTGTTATGTCGACGCCCATGCCCAACACAAACAGCACGCGGTCGGCTCGGTTGCTGTTTCGATACCAGCACGTTCCGACGTGTCGTTCTATTTTCAAATCGTTTCTGTTTGCTTTGTTGCTAAAAACGTTTTCGCTATCAACAAATCAGTTAAGATTCGTGCGCGAACATGTCGGGTTTGGTTACCCGAGCAACCGTTAAAAGTTGAAATAAATAGAAAAAAATAAGAAAAGGAAAATATTTAGAATTTCAAACAAGTGTTCGCATTCGTTGCCAAGTGTTTTTATAACCAAATGCAGCAGTGGAAACTTAAATGAAAAGTGTTTTTCGTGCGGCAAAGAAAGCTCCAAAAATATATCTATTATAGTACTTAGCATACATACGGAGAGAAATACTTATAAACTGTGCAAATTTTATAATAGAGTCACTGCAAAATGGCCTGCTCCACGAAGGTGTTAAAAATCTTTGCCCTAATCTGGGATATAATATATGTTGTAAGTGTGCGCATTTAATATGATTAAAGTGGTTTTTATTGTTTCTTATGAGTGGCGTAACCTGAGCTGAGGCTTGTTGACGGAAACGTTTTGGGGGCCTATGCAAATGAGGTCCAAAACTCTTTTGAGTGCTGTAAATACTATTAGGGCATTATAATTATAATAGCATTAAAAGATATAATTACACGAATAAGACACGTTTCATTAAGACCCACTGAGTTTACTAACCCCCAGCTGAAGGTCTCTCACTAAGTTTGTGGCTTGCTTAATTGCAACTAATAATGGCCTTACGGTTCAAATCGTATATAGTATATATATAATTGTTTGTTGCGCAAGAGAGTTCATTCAAACTTTGAAGTTTATAAACAATCATTGATTGGGTATCGAGAACTTTGTTTATCTGGGCTAAAGTACACAACACAAGCCTTGACTTCATCGCATACATATTTTTTGTTGAGTAATTAATGCGACTGATAACGGTATACATATATGTATGTATATATACAATTTGATACTAATGTATAATAACATTTAGCTAGAATTACAATTTGATTGGGTAGCTAAATGTTTAACAGCGTTTCAATTACATCTGAAGGTTTCTATTTGTTTTTTTTTTTTTTTTTTTTTTTTTTTTTTTTGTGTTCTTTGTCTATTTGTTATTTGAATAATAATATGTTGTGTTGTATTCCTATGTTAATCTATTTGGATTGGGCGCAGCTTAATTCAATTTAAATTTTATGTTCATGAAACAGACACGGGTTCTCCATAGAATGGAATGTGAGTCGTGTCTGTCTGTTGTGATAGAAGCGAAATAAACATGATTACATTATAAATTTAAATAATAAATAGATAGTAAATAAATAAAATAATATTTAAATACGGTATTGCAAACAATACCACAATAGATCAGGTATTAGAGAAACATTTTTTGTTATGGAATTTCCATTTGTTTGACCTTATCCTTCATTTGTCTCGCTTGCTATAGAAGGCATGTCGCCCACAAGCATTCGATCGTTCTGAACTGTCCCCAGCATGTACAAATATAAAACGAAAACAAAAACTTGCCCAGACTTTTTAAAGAAAGACTGCAAAGCTAATATTTGTTTTTGATATTTTTATATGATATTTGCCTTAATTGCTCGTTGGTTTAACCGCTTGTCAAAATTACTGCATGCCAAAACTTACTTAATTTATTGTTTATTTCTTTTAAGAACTAAATTTGTTGTTGTTGTTCTATGATGAAAAAAATAAAATAAAATAAATAAATAATAAGAAAACAAATCAACATTACTTTATTGTTCAGTTATGCACGCGGTGTTAAAAATAAAATTGAAATAGAAATATTGAAATATAAAAATTTGGTACACCCACGCCATGAAACTTGGCCCTGAGCAAAAGGCGGTCAAAATATCTATGTGTGTTAAGATTGTTTGTGTGTGTGTGTGTGTGTGTGTGTGTCTATGTACATAGCATCGCGTCATTGGCTCCTAGCCGTATAAAATGTTTAGTTTATTTGTCTTTTGGCTGTGGCTTATTTTTCTGTCTTTCACGCCAACTGAAAATTGGTTGATGTCATTTTTCAGACATTGCAAAATTTTGTTTGGAAAATACATAAAAATTTTTCAGCAAGAAGCTTAACGAAAATCGAGCAAGCAAAATATATGCCGAATAAATGTGCCAGCAAAGGAAATGCCTAAAGAAATAGCGCACAACGTGGCGTATGCGCGACTTTTCCGCATCGGTTCCGAGCGAGTAAACTTTGATTTACTGACGATCTGCTCTTCTGTTGTTGTTGTTGTAGTAGATGTGGCTGTTGTTGTTGTTTTTAGCTTAAAAATTACTTCATTTGGTGCGGCAGTGTGTTTTTAATTAAATGCCAGCTGTGCCTATACATACTACCCGCCCTGCATTTTAGGTAGGGCACAACCTTTTTTTGGTTGGTATTTTTCCCAGCTACATTCGAGCGCGTATTTATGTTGTCAAGTCTGGTTGTTTTGTAAAACCCACATAAATCTAAGCGCACATTTCTCGCTCAATGACATTTGTCTAGTTGTTCTCGGCTTGTCTCGACCACATGCTGTTCGCAGAGGCAACAGCTTCAACGGTTTCAACGGTTTCAACGGTTTCAACTGCTTCAACAGTTGCGTGAGCGTGTAATTAGCAGCTGTCTTCGTTCGCCAAAATCTAATCAGTTGGTGCGCCTTATCAGCAATATGCAAATATTATATGCCTTCTGGTTGGCCTTGCTTACGCATTTGTCGCTCTATATAAATGATAATTGCATTTAATTGTTTGTCTGTGCGACAAATTAGAGCAAAAAATATGCAAATAGCATGTGGCACAAATTAAAATGAAAAATATATGGACAGAGTCCATTAAAGCTACATCAGTTAGTCGTGCTCTTTAGCTAGTGACTGTTAACCAAGAGTCATAAATTTAAAGCAGCTGGGTATAAAATCCGACTAAGTATGTTTCTACTATGTGTACAGTTTAAGTCATTGTCATATGTCATGAAAAATAATTGCCAAGAGCATTAGAAAGATAATTGTTATATAAAAATAGATTATTTAGATTACGAAAAAAAAATTAACAAAAAAAAAAAAAATAATAATAATTGCGACAAATATAGTATATAAATAAATAAAGTATTAGGAATATGTATTCAAGATAAGTATAACTATGTTTAGCAGACAAATTACTTTTGAGATAAGTTAAGCTATATTTGTGCTAGCGTATATTTGGAAAGCAATCTATATTGATTATATGATATTTAAAGAAATATTGGCAACTTATCTATTCATTAAAATCATCAGACAAAACATTATCAGGCTGCTTAAATTATCTAATACAAATAATAATTAAAAAGCGTGTCTGACATATTATATATCTAGGTGTACAGTTTTCGTTGCTCAACTTATCTAATACAATTTTAACTGGAGACATGCTATCTATTCGATATTGCTATTTTCTTAGACCTTTTACTTGTTTGGTTGCTGTGCGACACTTTTTAACTCTTATCTAAACGGGAGTGCTAATTTGTAGAGATAGCACATGTGACACGTTTGGGGTTACCTAATGTTTACTCATATTGAGAGCGCACTTAAGCAAATAAGTAAGGGCGAAATTGAAGTGATCCAGAGATTAGATCTGATTCCCACTTGGTGGGTTCAATGCCATTGTCATTCAGATTCCATTGGCTATGCTTGATTTGACGCCCCCCTTTTTTTTTAGGCTCTCTAGAGTTATGTCGGCATCGGCTGGTCTTCAGCAAGTTGGGCGTCATGTGTAATAAATAACAATTAAATGGCGTGGTATCTAGACATAATGCCAGATGCTTGAAAGTTGCTTAAGGCTAAATAAAGTGCTTGCTGTCTGCAGCGTGCTGTAAACACTTTATCAGAGTTTAATTTATGACTTTATCAATGGATCAAAAACTATTTATTTGTCGGCATTCAAATTGCTTTTACAGTTCTATTAATAAATTGTGCCTTCCACATTTTTCTTGGCCATATTTAGCAGTGCCTCACATGAACATGCGCCAGCTTAAGCGACAGCAATTAAATTTGTCTGACAGTAATTTGCCTAATTGTAATTCAATAGAAGGGGCAAGGCGGACGGATAAAGAGCTAATATTGTCTGACTATTTATTAAGCATCGACCTTTATTCAATTACGCTATTGAGCCTCAAAAGGCGCAGCTGTGCAAAGATAAACTTTGAATTTATGAAGACACCGCAACCAGTTATGGCTACAAATTACAGCAAATGCCAAATGCGTTTGCGTCAAGTCAAGCCCCAAACCGAAAGGCATAAACAAAACGCTAGACAAACATTAAGTCAACATGATAAATCGCACAAATCAGTCATAATTACCACGCTGTGCTCACAATTGGTTGGCTTTGGGAAATCTGAAAGCTATTTCGGGGGCTACTTAAAATGCAGCCCGAAAATAGATGTCAAGCCTAAATATGTATTTAGCGGAAGTTTGGGGTATGGACAAGTTGAGCTGGAGCTGTGTCGTGACACGCAGTAAGGCGTTATAATGTGACGTGACTTAAAAAGCAATTTCTATTTGAAATGTGTATATAAAAAACTATTTTGATATGATATTAATTACAAAAAGTCATGAGAATAAAAATGAAAAGCGATGTTTAATTATCGTTGCTATCGTCTTCAAGTTTTCTTTATCTCAATTGCATTTATGAGAATTGCATAGAAGAAGAATCTGAAAAATGAAACACATTGAATCATGTTTGCTCTCTTAGTTCTCTTCCTAGCTGTCTCTTTCTAGATCATAATACATACAATATCCAATATCCAATCATCTACTCATTTTCGTGTCACGTTTCCATCTCTACTTCTCTATTCAAAGTGTCAACAACTATGTTGTTTGCCCAGTCGGTTAACTGGTTACTTGCAATTGTAATTATTATTCACAATCGTATTGCCAACAACTAGTAGTCGATTGTAAAGATTGAACAAAATCATGTATGATGGATACATAAAGTAATGTATAAATAATTATTGCGCATTTATTAAAGTATTTTGAGTGTATGTGCTGATAGCCGATAGTTCGAACACGATATACGATCGTTTGCCAACTGTGTCAAGAGCCAAATTCGCAAAACTGTTTACATTCGCGCTTCAGCGTGAAATTTCCTCGAATGCCTGAGTCATTGTTAAAATTCAGACTGCACTTGCAACAAATTTGAGCTAATTGTGCAGGCAAAAGTAAGCAGATAGAACAAAAACAACAATCAATTAAATAGTGAAAGGGTAAAGCAAGCGCGAACTACGTTGGGTATGCGTGATGCGAGGAATTTTTGAAATCGGATGATGCTCTATATAGATATATATTCTATATACTGAATAAAACAAACAGATATATGTACATGTATGTGTGTGTGAGCTTGAATATGCTACGTATGAGTAATGAGCTACTTAGCTATCATATTAAGTATACGTAAGGTATAACAAATTTTGTATAGCTTTAATACAACTTTTTAACAGCTAAGCCTTAATACAATTACTAACAGTGTTCTTATATATTATAATAWGAATATATATATCTCAGTATATATACATATGCGTTAACACGCATAAGTGACTAAGCTAATGCATTTGCAGCATACGCAATGCTTAATGAATTTTAAATAGAGTATAGCCTTAATAGAATTACAGAATGTTAGCGGGGTATATTCAACTTTAAGATAAAAGTATATATAATAAAGTATATACATTATATGTATATGCTTATACTCATTTGCATACGCTGCGTATGTGTAATAAGTCATTTAGTTAATGTCTTGGCATATAATCTTCATAGTTTACATTGTGTGCAATGATTATTTTTATAGCTCATTTAGGCCTTATTATTTATTATTGAAGGACGATCATAGTTTAATAAAGCCGGCTATAAAATATTAATTATAATTCTACACATTGTCTAAGCAATAAAATTAATCTTTTTATAACATTTAACTGATTTATTTTACGACTTACAGCTCTTTGGCTTGATTGTCGTTGCACTGGCCGTGCACGTTTTCTTCAGATTCGAACACTTTGATACGGCCGCCATAATCATTCTCAGCTTTGGCATTGTCGTCGTTCTGGTCTCGCTCTTTGGCACCCTTGGAGCCGTACGTGAGAGCAGCCGCATGTCCAAATCGGTAGGTCTATAAATTTAGGCATATCATACTATGGTTAGCTAATATGTATTTTCCTTTCAGTTTGTTGCCATTCTTGTTGTTTTGATTGTGCTGCAAGTGCTGACAGTGGGCTTCTTTTGGATATTCCAAACGTCGCTGCTCATCAATGTGGACAAGACATTCGATCAGCTGTGGAACGATCAACCGGTGCCCGTCAAGCCTGGCAATGCCAGTCAAATTGCCAGCATAGAACGTTGGGTACGCAAAGCTGAAAATCGGTTGCTCAAACATATGTTAATAAAATATTTTTCCTTATTGTGGCACAGCTCGATTGTTGCGGCAATGTCAGCTATAAGGACTACTTGCTGCCCCCCAACAGCTGCTACAATAGCGAAACGAACAAAATGAACATGGACGGCTGTCGTCAGAAGTTCCTGGACTACATTGCCGAACGCTGGACAGCCTTCAATATATTTGCATTGGTTCTAGTTGGCGTTGAGGTGTGTAAAAGAAATCATAAATGAAACTGCTCAATAAAATATTAATGCACTGTTTTCATATTGTTTTTCTACAGATCATTTGCGCACTACTCGCCTATGTGCTGGCCAATAGCATTGTGAATCGCTGGAGACGCTCTAAATATTATGCTAAATAGGTTTCACATACTCAACTCAGTACATACGCACATACTCAAGGCCAAAGATTTCTCAATACTGTGCAAAAAAAACTTACACACTGCGCTGCACGGTCTCGACTCTACACTATACTACACAGCACTGCACTCAGCAATCGAATTTCCAGTCTAAATATTGCTAGTCTACCTCATGTTCATTCGCAAACAAAAGGAAAAATGGAAAAAATAAATTTTGACAAAACACACACGATTCTATTACAAAGCTCAACAACAGGTGCCAAAAGCAGTGTTCAAACCGATTTCGATGTCTGTATAAAAAAATATATAATATATACATACATCTGTCGTACAATATTTATATACATGTATTTATTTTTATAAGATTGTCACAAATGTTTGATTGTGGTTTTTGATTGCTTTTAATAATTTTCATTTGATATTTCACTACGAACGCTACACAGTGCCTACGATAAGTTAAGCGACATGCGATTTGTAACATTTCAAGCAATAAAGTAAAATATATGTAGATTTTGTATTAATTAAAATAAATTCCTACTAAATCAAACAGAATAAAGTGCTTTGACAACAAGTAGAGAATTAAGTGGGCAAATTCCAGATACCCTATAGCTATATAAGACATTGTTTCTTTGTTATATTTTTTTTTTTTTTCATACATATTTCGTTTTTTATAAAATAGATATTTTATTGGGAAGTGTAACGAGTTACATTATCAAGCGCAGATGGTAGAATAGGAGGATTAGAGCAGTGCACGCGCTGGATCCGGCCAATGGGTCATCGGGAGAAGGGAAGGGGTAAGAAGAGGGGAACTGCGACTCCTAGCGCTGCCAAGATATATTTATTAATAAAAATCGCGTGCAAACGATTATCTTCGGCCACTTGCTTAGAAGAGAGAAAAGAAGAGAGAGAGAGA